TAATTAACATCATAGATGCTACAAAGACAGACGGACGCAGAGCTCTGTCGAAGGGAGAGAGAGAGAGAGAGAGAGAAGGGCGAGCAGGTTTGGGTCTTTGAAAATGCTACATTTGGCTTTTGCAGTAATGAAAACACGTGGGACATCTGCTGTATTTAAAATTTCACTTTGGCCTGCACGGATTTGCAGCTCAGGAAATTAGAAATAATTAAAAATGTAGCTCGTTTCGTTAAGCGAAACACGTACCTGACAATGCCGAGTTGTTGGTTCGAAATTGCAAATTTGAAAGGCTGTTAAGTGAAACCTGATGTCAGCTCCTCTGGTTAGAGTTGTTTCTTCAGGTTTAATGTAGATGACTTCCTTACTTGTCAAACCACCTGTCTTCTTTACACAAAATATGGACATTTGGAATTTAAATCCCAGTGTAGGATGAATCCATACCCGAGTTTCCAGTTTTTGAATTCCTGAAATAAATTCCCTTTTTTGACGATCTTCTGATTTACTTGTATATCTTTATTTGCCAGTTTGCAACCTCTTTTAAACTGAACTCCTCTAAAAAAAAAAAATGAATAAAACAGCTTTTACACAAAACCTATTCTCAGAAAAGCGGAAAGCTCATTGTTCCCGGTTCCGGCGTACACATGGCTCGGCTCATTTGAGCAGAAGAGATCGGTGGATGTGATTCGTAGGACGGAGGTGGGCTTGGAGTCTTGACGAGACTTACAGACTCCTAAAATATTCCTGTAAATTTAATAGCTTTTTGAAAAAGCAGAGCAAACCCCGTTTTATTGGTTCTTCTGTTCTCTGACTGTGAGCTGAATTTAAAAACCAATAAGCTTTTTTTTTTTTTTTTTTTTTCTCCCCCACATAAAGAACAATGTTGACCAAAAGGCTCAAAGAAGCATCAGCTCGTAAGCGTAGACGGTGTCAGCCGCAAAGCGAAAGCCTCCCTGTGTTGTCCGGTAGGAACCAAACCGTCTCCGTATCGACGGAGGGATTTAATGATGCAGACCTGTGGCCCTCTGAGTAATAAAACGGCTTTTAGGAGAGTAAAAAGCTCCGTTAGTTATCTGCTTGTTATCTGACGTCCAGCTGAGTTGTTGTCATGGTCATTTAGTCATGCACATAAAACTGAGATACATGAATGGATTCATTTTCCTGTCTTATTAAATATCACCTACTGAACGAAATACGTTTCCTCTAAAGTCGTTCCAGATTTGCTAAGACACTCCAGATACATTTATTAGATGTTTTAAACAGAAAATAAACTTTAACTGAATGTTAATTTAAGACTTGTACCTCATTTTATTGAAAGTCAAATAACAAGGCAAAAGTGTTGGCACTTTTGGTTTCATTACCTTCACGAATAAGCAACCTCTCCAAGTGTTTTCACATTTTGTTCAAATTCAACCGCAAATTTTGATTTATTTAATAAACGATTATACTGGGATTTCACATGATCTGAACAGTGCGATGAACATTTGCTTTCTGGCTACTCAACTAACACTTCAACCAAATTGCATTTCTCTGGTGGGCTCTGAGCAGGCTTCTATAAAACCTCAAAAAGTTTGTGTTTGTAATGTAATCTAAATGCAAAAAGCACTAGAGGTGTTTTTACAGCGCTACATCTGATCCACTGTGTTCCTCAAACTACCGACCAGAGGCTTTATGTGTTCTTATAGGTTCCATCTTCAGGTCAACCATATTTATCTCAGATGTTGATCTGTTGTTGTTTATTTTTAGATACTGGCAAAATCAAATTTCTGGGTTTTTATTAATCTCATTTATTTATATTCTCCATCAAGTTTCCCTGTTTTCCCAGCAAGCCTTGGTCCTGGAGAGTAGTACATTTTTGAAACGCTCAATGACGACCGCTGCTTTTGAGCAAGACACAAACGGATAACTGTTTATAAAAATGCACCGGCCAGTTTCTGTTGTTCAAACTTCAGTTTTATTTTATTTCGCTTAACCTTTATTTTACCAGGAAAGTTGATTGAGGAAGTGATTGTTGAGTTATCCTCAAGAATTCAGAAACATTGGATAAGCTATTTGTGCTGGGATGTTACAAGACAAAACATATACATACCGTCAGTACTACTAACATAACTGATTTGTTATCATTGCTCACATGGTGACTGTGAACTGATGGCAGAAGCCAGTTATCCAACCATTTTAAATAAAATCTCTAACTTGGGCAGATTTTCACATTATTCAATAAAATTCATTTGCATTTAAATGAGCGATTTAATTTGAAAATGTTAATTAAATGTTTTATCATCAGCCATCCCATATGATTACTTTAACTGATTAGTCATTCTGGGGAAGACTAGCGAGGGCAGCAACATGTAATCATCTTGTCAGCTGCTCTGGTGCATCTTTACATCCGAATGCTTTGTTTTTCTTTGTGGAGAAAATTTAAAACGGGGCTGTCCGCCTTCACTGGCGAGGACAGCATGTCAGACCTGAGAAGGCCTCAGAGTCAAAGGCAGCGGGGTGCTGCTTATTCGTCTCCCTTTGTTGTGATGACAGTCTGAATGTGCACTGAAAGCAGAAAAAGATGTAGAGAGGAAATAATTACTTCACCTCCTGCTGATTTTGTAGGGTTTTTCACAAAAGAGTTATCAGCATTCTTTTTTTTTTTTTTTGGGGTGTTTTTTTTTTAAAAACTGGGGAGAAAAAAACATAAAAGTAAAAAAATAAATAAATAAATGACTTCCATGCCACTGAGTGAAGTAACATTTTTATCCGCTTTAGAAACATAGCTTGGTTCTTATTGTAGGAGCGTTTGTTGGCAAGCACAGCAGTAAGAGTTTTTTTTTAACAGCTGCTTGGCAGCTTAGAGCTCCAGATCCCGCCTACAGATTTTTATTTTCTTTTGTTGGATTGAGATCTAGAGACTGGCTCAGCCACGCCACATTGTTGATGTTCCTTTGTCGATGATATGATTTGGGTTGGTTTCATGCTGGAAGGCCGCATCCGTCTTCATGATGAGGAAAGAAGGTTCTCTGATGCTGAGCACGGCCCCGTCCACCGACCCCTCAACGCCGTGAAGCCGGAGGCACACCGGTTCAGTTCTGATTAGTGTTTTACTAATGTGAAACAAAAGCCTCCTCGAGCAGTTTCACAAACAGAAACCCATAATCATTACTTCTTCCGGGAAGAAAAACAACAACCATGACAGACTATAATGAGGATTAAGTAGTTAATATGCTGCTCCAGTTGGGCAACAACTTCGTTCGTGTAAGCTAAGCTCCACCGTCAGCCTCCATGTTTACTTCGGCAAACGCTGAGCATTTCTTCTTTATGGCAGTTGGCAGAACACTGAGAACGCTGACGCTATTGCGCCCTCTAGTGCGCATGCGGGACACTTTCCCGCCGTTCACATTGTAGAACATATACAGGTCGCATATGTTAGGCAGTGTGAACAGCCACAGCAAAAAAAACAACAACGATTTGACCAAAAAATTAGAACTGGGTGACTTCAGGCTGCAGAGTGAACGCAGCCTTTGTCTCATCTGATCACAGTATTTTTCTCTAAGTCTTCTCTGAATCACTGCCAAACCTTTGATTTTACGATACATATTACTGTTTTCCCAATGATGTTCTCGGTCACTGCGACTACAGCTGCCTTCAGATCAATAACAGGCTCTTCCTGAGCTGCTGTGAGCTAATCTCCACCTTTTCCATAATCATGCAAAGCTCAACAAAAAAAAAAAGTGAGGGATCATAAATCTTTCCTTGAGGCAAGAACTGTCGCCTAACTTCAAACTGATGGATGACGGTGATGGATGTTCATTTTACGTTTCAACTATTTCTATTACACCAAGTGTGATCACCTTTGCACAAAGCTGTTGCAAATGTCTGCTAACTTGTCGTTTGACAGATGCTGACACACAACATACGTTTAGAGCTGGAATCCGGAAGACTGAATCTTGACGTTTAACGATTGAGCACAAGTCAGACGTCTGGTTTGTTTGTAAGAAATAAAACCTTTGTCATTCAGTAGGTTGTTAATAATTTCACCATTTTGTCATTTTATTTTTGCAGTTTTGGTATCCATTATGCCCAATATTTTTGGTTATATAAAGCAGGACATCCTCTATGAACCGTGGCTCAATTCATACCCGTCAATGGGATGACTCAGATTTTCTATGGCAACCAATCATGGAAATGTGGTTTTATGGCTCCAATAACTCTCATCTACCGGCAAGAGGGCACATAAATGTTTTGGTTGGATGGGTTTTTATATTTTAAAAATGAAGGAGGCACAAACACTGATCAAAGGAAAGCGGAAAACACAGTTTTCAGAAAATAAAAGCCATTTTATTAAGTTATGCAAGAGATTTTTACGATAATTAATCCCCTTGATTCATAATAACGATTCCATTGAATTGGAAAAAAGGAAAGGAAATTAAATGTTGTGACTCGTATTATCCAAAGATTTGTTGCAGATGCTGGTTGGCTCTCCTGCAGCAGTCTGTACTACACCAAACAAGAAGAAGCCTCTGATTGAAGACACTCTGTTGTTGGCAGCCTCATTAAGAGGATGGCTACAGTTGTTCGTGACATTTTTCACTTCATAAAGAACGACTTACTTTAACATAATTAAAAAAATACATGTAGTTAAAATAGATGAGCATGAATTGACTTGCTCACAGACAGGAGATGGCAAGTGAGGTGGGACAAAATGGCAGTAGGTAGATTCACAATTGTGATCCAAATTGACATGTTAACCTGGAACACATTGTGGCAAGGAGATGAATGTTACTCTTTGTGTATCGTGTCGATTCTTGTTTGATACGACATCTTTTCACATCGCAATAAGATCACTGCAACTGGCAAATAAATGATAAACCGCTCATTCTTTTCATGCAAGAAAACTCCATTTATCTCTTTAATTAGCAGGCGATCGAACAACTAATTCCCCGACTGTGTCATATCTTAATCTGAGATGAATTCGGTTAATTTTGACCTTGTTGTTGTTTTCTCCTTTTGAACAGAATAATGCTGCGTGCTGAGTGGACAAACTGAAGAGTAGCAACACCTGGTTTCCTTATACAGAACAGAGGAGATGTCCCAGAACCCCTTCTTCTGTGTGGACTTCAGATACGTCACCACCTTCGGCCTGGCCATACCACAGTAGTTTGTAGTGACTACTGCCAATACGTAATGAGCACAAACACCCGAGGACGGACAGAAGCAGGATTTTTTTTTTTTTTTTTAGGAAGAGATGATCAAAGAGGACTCTTTCAGCTGCAGCCTCAGCAGAGGAGAGGGAGAGACGGGTTCATTTTACTTCTTAGAGGGTTTTTCGTGATCCTTTAAAAGCAAGCCGGCGTGGCGCGGAGCGACGAACTGGAAACCCTGAAACCCCGCCGGCCTGCAGACACAGCTCCTCTTTCTACAGTAGATATAAGATGTTTATCACACCGCTGTGTCACTTTGTGTTCAGTAGCAGTTAGACACAGTCGTGGATTATCTAGTTGGTGAATTATTTATGTGAACTAGTAGGAGAATTTCTATGAGTGGCTAACTTTCTGAACATATAACAGCTTAGGTTGATGCTGAGCATCTCACTTAGAATGTTTATTTGTTTGTTTGTTTTTTTTTGTTAAACCACAAAAAAGTTGTTCTAATGAGTCTAAAAAAAAAAAAAAAAAAAAAAAAAACATCTTATAAGAAAACGTTTTAACTCCTCCTTGACAAAGACACAGCATCGCACAGTTTATCCTCTGGTGGTTTCATGATCCTGACATGAAGTCCTCCAGAGGTTCTGTCTCTTCACCCAGAACATTATTGAGGATCAGGGATGCCTTCGCAGCAGCAGGAAGCTTTATGCCAAGTTAAACACGTCCACAATCCTTGGTGACAAGCCTTCAGACCAACAACAAAAGCCAGGCCGATACTTTTAAGGTTTAGTTTGTAATGTTACGACTCGTCTGAAGCTGCGCAAGCGGCGGCTTCATTAGCAATATGATGCAATTGATTAACCGTAAGCTCCTTTATAAGGAGCACTCTGTATCCTGTACCGGTAATTGATAATTGTAAGAAATTAGCCATGATTTAAAAAAAAAAAAAGAAAAGGAAAAAAAAAACAGGAAATCCATCCAGGCCCCCGTCAACACTGGCAGCAATAATGTACAGCACCGCAGACCGCGTATGAGTTTCAGAGTAAAGGACTCTAAAGAAGGTCTCCAAGGATTTCTGTGTCAGCTTTGTAGGAGCTTAAATTATCACCGCTTTGTGGAAGAAGAAAACTGTACTGGAGAGACGCATCCAGTCGGAGCTTTCAGACTTCAAAGTTATTTACTGGAAAATACGAGTCAAAATGCCCATCGTTATTTTCAAGTCCCTTTTTTGTTGGTTTTACAAAACAAAAGCCTAAAACCCCAAAACAGTGCCTTGTAAAAGTGTTCAAACCGAGTTTTTTTTTTTTTTTCACATCACAACCACACCCTCAAATGTATTTTTTTGCAGCTTGTAACTGTGACCTATGAGAAAAATGTGACGTGTTTTTAAAAATCTATTTTGCCAATGATCTGGAAAAATAGCTCGTCTGAACTTGTGGATGCCGCCACCATGTTTCTCTGTAGGGGATGGTACATTCAGAGTGATCTGCTGTGTTTTCCTCCAAACGTGGTGTTTTACCCGTAGCCAAAAAAAATTTACCTTGGTCTCATCTGGTCAGAGAACCTTTTTCCTCATGTATGCATAAAAAAACCCCAAACACAAAATATGGCAAACAAAAAAATAGGAATTCTTACAGCTTAATAATCCCTTTCTGTCTTCATGCCACATAAAGAGCAGCTTCTCCCACCTGAGGCCTTCGTCAAACACTTGGATTTGCACCGAGCTTAAGCCGAAAGGCAGCTGGTTGCCCCGGATTTTATTTTAAACTCTCAGAAAATACGCTGAGGTTCGTGGTTGTGACGTGGCAAAGTGTGAGATGAACCCCGAGGGGTGTGAACACTTTTGCACAGCACTGTAAATGTATTTATTTATTTATTTTGGATTGACGAGTAATTATAAACGAGTTAAATATAACAACCTACACTGATTTTTAGTACCTGTTAGTCCGCCGCCTGTTTTGCTCCGTTAATGAATGGACTGCTTCGCTTGAGTTTTATCTTAAACTAGCAGAAACATCTTCAGCTGTTTTTTTCCTTTTGTTTTGTTGATTTACTCACCCAGTCGTGTCCCATTTAGACACACTTAATGATCTGCCACAGTGGACAAAGTCATAACGACTACGTATTCACCTTTAAATGGCTTAAAGGGAAATTAGAGTCACTTTTGCCTAGAATATTAACTACAGAAACACCAAAGTAATAACTAATTGACTGACTAAAAGATATAAAGATGATATTCAGCTCTACAATCATCTGAAGGTTAATATTTTGGGCTGAATCAGAAAAGAAAAAAAAAAATCCTGTTTTGGTAGAAAAGTCACACAAAGCCACTTGTGGTCATTAGACCACTGACTCCAAACAGTTTGGTGGAGCAAAAACAAACCAGATAGAGGATTTGATTCTTTAATTTCAGCGCTCCGTGAAGTTTAAGTGGATCCGAACAGCGGCCAGCGTCATCTGTTACCCGTTATCTCCAATAATATTCAAATTTGCTGAACCACTAGAGCAACTTAATTCCCACTTTCAGTAGCTGAAGTTTAATTGCGCGCTTGCCCCAGATGACTTGTGCCATCAACTTCTAGGGGGCAGAGAAGAGGCAGGATGTGTCCAAGCGAAATAATTGGCCCACAGCTCAAGTTCTGGCTTTTAAATTACTCTCTCTCGCTCAGAGTGCGAAGAACAGCAGCAGCAAACAGGAAGGTGAGAGTTTTAACAGGGTGTGGCAGGAGAATAGTCCCCAAATTACAATTATATTAATATATTTTGGAGCGCTGTATGAAGACCTTTTTTTTTTTCTTTTTTAACATATCACCAGTTATAAAATGCATTAGTCTTACCCAGGGAATTTAAATCGAAAATAACTTCAATATGCCTCCGACGAGTAGTAGCAGGATCTTAGACGGAGTTCATCGTCCAGAGATGTTTTGGGAATCCTGACTTGTTTTCAATGTTCCAACCTGGTTTTTTTTGTGTGATGTTTTCTGTTTCGTAGACAGTAGTCCTTACTCCGGCCTGACGTGATGTGGTACTGTTAATCGTATCAGCTCAAGCCTTTCTCCTGTACTGAAATAAATAAATAAATAATAAATAAACAGATGGAGGAGGGAGGGCGGGGGGCAAAGGAAGCACACAGCTGTTTCGGTCTCTCCAGGTTGTCATGGTAACAGTTGCCTTACAGTTAAATCCCCACCTGTACACAGAAGCTTTGTAGTGGTCGATACCTCACTTTTCCCTGGGTGTGGTGATGATGAGGACGACGAAGACGATGGTGTGCACCGCATTCTGTCTATGTACCTCCTGCTAGATAGAATGTAACTTTTCCAGTGAGATTGTAATTGCACTCGTTGACTTTGTATTGTCACAAAAGGGAGAAATAAAGTTTTATCTTTTCCAGTGTGTTTAAAATCCCTCTGTGTGACGTTAGTCTCTTTCGCAAACGGAAGGAAAATCATCAACAGGGTAATGAACGAAGCGCCACACTTTCCGAGCCTTTAAAATTAGATTTAAAATGTACTATGGTGAAAGTATACAGTTCGTCGTGTGAAGGCAAAAATGCCAGGTGATGATGGCAGACCGACAGGAAGCAGAAAGGAAAGGAGGGCAGGGCCAGGGCATACTTTTCTTTTATTGGTCGAGCTTGGAACCCACTGATAACTGCTTGCAGCTCTAGTTTTGTTTAAATGTGTGCAGCGGAGCAGAAAAATTACTGAAATAAAACATGCCACAAAACAAAAACACATCATGAAAGAAACAGAGGCAGTATTGCCAGATCTATTTATTGCTACCAATTTATGTTTATTACCTTGAAGAAGTATCTATACTCTGTTAAGGAAGAATATTCTATCTTAAATAGTTAACTTTGGAAAAAGTTTGGCTCTCTCTTCCTCTGGATCCCAGGTCCTCTCGGCGGGCCACGTGTAGTCACAAGGAAAACAACAATGCGTGTTGACGTCACAGAATTACAGAGTTTAATCCAATATAAGACAATGCATGAACTTACACCAGAAACTGTAGAACAACGGAGACATACATTCATTTACCTGACAGACTTGGAAAGAAAAGCAAGAAAGAAAGAAAAGCAAGACGTGCAAAGACATCTTTGGAGAGTTGCAAGAGCAAATCTGATTTGTTACTTCTGTGTAGAAAGTTTTACAGTAAAAGGCGTATTCTTATCTTTAATTTATTCAAATAAGGCGTATCTTTGCTCATCCAACCAGGAGCTGTCTCTGACCCTCTATCTGAAGCCTAAAACCCCTGCCGTGTTTACGGCCTTTCACAGATGAGTGTGAAAAGCTGGAACTTCCACTGTATTGTTTTCCCACAGACAAAAGGCAGTTCAAACGATCCTAGCAACACTATCTGCTGTAACTACAAGTAAAATAAAGGTCAATAGGCCAGAATACATTAGTAATTTCAAAACCACAATTAGGGCATTTGAATCAAGACATGTTAAGTTTTAAAACTAGCTTATTTTAAATTTATTTTCTCAACAACTCCTTAAAATCTTTTATAACCATTGTCATGGTATAACCTCAAACTTCATTTGTGCTACAAAAAGTAGCGTAAAAAAACGAGAGGTCACAATTTGAAGCTGCATTTCTATTTAGCCTCTTTTTTATTCTGAGGCCCCTAACAAGCAACATATTTAAAAACATAAAAGGATTTCTCTGTCGGTGGTGATCTGATCAGGGTTTTCACACCGAGCTGAAGTTGAGGGAGGTTCAAGTTACAAAGTGTCTAAGCACCACCTCTTACTTTGCACAACAGGAGATGTGAAGAAATGATGTTTTCATAAATTGGGTCGTCGTAGGCGTTGTGTGGCGGCAAAAGGAGAGGTTTGCCCAGGGTGCCATTCATCTAAGAACCGCCACTGAGCTGGTAAATAGAGTTCACCCGTGAGTAATTTATCCTCCGTGTAACTCCAGCTGTTCTGACGGCCCTTAAGGTTTTGGTAGAAAACATTAGCGAACAAGCATCAGTCGAGGAAACACAGCAGACAGAGCGGGGTTGGCGACGTGGAGAATTTTAAAGATCGGATCAGATTCTAAAACATTATTCCACTATCAATGTGTAAAACCTTATATCATTTCTATCATGAAATGTGGCGGCAGTATCCTGAGGGGATGCTGTTCTTTAGCAGAAGGGAAGCTAGTCAGAGTTGACATGATTAATTGATACCGGACAATCCAGGAGGAAAATGTTTAAGAGGCTGTAAATGTCTTGAGGCAGAGGAGGTTCATTTTTCAGGAGGACAACAACTCAGGAAATACAGCCGACTATCTAATGGTTTCAATCAAAGCATACATGTTGCCTTGCAGCTTTAGTTGCAGCGAACATTGGTTACAGTGAGTAAATACTCACTGGGCAATGTATACTTTTCTTTGCCATACATTTTTTTAGTCGCCCTGACAATTATGCGTTTCTTTGTGTTGGTCTATTACACACAATCCAAAAAAATATTCCCTCAGGTCAGTGTGACAAAAAAAATGAAAAGATTACGTTGGAGGTTTCAGGTTTAAGCTTTTGGTTTTGTTGTTCAAATGTTTTTATTAATTTAGTTGCTTACTTGCAACTAAACATTAAGTCTATCTAAAGGAAGCCAGAAGGTCTTAGTTTGCCCTTCTGTTGTAGAGTTTGGCCTTTCTCTAAATAGCACAAGTATCATCACTGCGGTGAGACAAATGACCGAATCAATCAAAACGCTTCTGTAACAACTTTCTAAACAATCATGAAAAAAGAGCAGCTGAGATGAAATGCAACAAAAAGAGCTGGATTCAGGTGGATGTTCCTTGCAGCAGGAAGAGGATTTATGTTAATAGACTGGGTAGATGAGTAGCATTTGTCTTCTGAGGACAATTGTTTTGAAATATTCTTGCTTCAAACAGGTCAGACCTTAATGGAGTCTGGCAAAGGGGTTCCTAACAACAGCTTTCCTCAGAGTTATTATTATATTTTTTATGCATGGATGCTTTACTGATGTACCAAAGGTTCGTAAAGTATGAAATAATGTTTTTTTCCCCCCTGTTTTGTTTAGCAACTCGATAGTGATGGAGGACAAAACTTGTATAAAAGCCTTTCTAAGCTAAAAAAGGAGGAATCAGCCACTTTTACCCTAGCAGCCTGTCACAAAGGCATCATTTGTTCCGGCTTCTTTTGTGGCGTAATGTATAAATAAAATGAATGTAACTGCTTAATAGAGAGAAAATAGAGACAAGTACCACAGTAAGGGTAGAAGATGTTAACTTTGGAGATAGAAATTAGATTAAAAACATTTTTAAAAAAGACTATTCTTTCCCAATTCTCCTTTTTTCAGGACACGGTTTTAGGTTTAACTACTCGATCTTTTCTCCTTCGCTTGTCCAGTTTCCAGAGATTTACTCACGGATATCAAAGCTTTAGGATATACAGTACTTCCCACCAAAACATTATGGTAAGGTAGTATTTCTTCGTAAATGGGCCACATAAATTCCACAATGCCTTTGCCAAGATTGCATTCGGTTCATGGGACTTTCTTCAAAGAGTGATTTAGAGATTCCAGCCCCACAGTTAGAGCCAGTGGAAAAGGGGCATCAGATGTCATGAGCACGTCGGTCTAAAAACAAATAACCATGACGTTTGGATGTGAAGAAACAAACACCTGGATTGCGAAAGAACAAGAGTTTGCAACCGTCCAACAGGTAGCGGCATTGTTAGCAGCTTGTTTGACTGCTGTATTTGCGCGCTAAAAAGACAAGTGGCGCTGGCTCATCAGCTCCGGTGTCACTAATTGACATTAATTCTGTCAGCAGCACGCTGCCAGACCACATCGCACCTTGTGTGCTGTCGTGTCTGAGTGCTTTCTGCAAGCTGGCGACTTGTACCGAGCCAGAAGCTTGCAAGACGAGAAGTCCCAGTTACAACAAGCCCTTTTTTCCTCCACAGGAAATGCTAAGTGTTGATCTAATAGCAGATCTCGACTTCCGTCTAATCGGGAAGGAAAAAGCAGGAGATCACATTCCTAAGTGAAGCACTCATGCCAACTAAATCATAGCAAGAACAGTAGAGCTGTGAGAAAGTGTTCACCCTCTTGCGTAATTCTTTTTTTTTTCTTGCCACATCAAGCAAATGTTAAAATCAGAGATTATTTAGTAAATACAAAAACAGAGCAGAGGAATACATTTTCTTTTATGATATAATGATTTAAGTAGGAATGTTTAATTACTTTCCTAACTAAAAGATCTAAACTAATTTTGCTGATACTTTTGTCGTTGCGCTGTGGAAATTCAATGCAGATTATTCTATTAAAGCACCATTAAAAAGTTTTTAATGCCTTTCGCCCCAGACGCTGCTAACCTTTTAATTTCGTTGCCTTTTGTTAAGTTTTGGTTTTATAGCTTAATATACCCCCCAAAATTAATTTATCTTCTGTGGCTCGTCATTAATCACCACATTACGCAGTGATGCATCTATCACTTGGACAGCGGTCCTCGGTAGGGGACAGAGCCTCAGAGCTCGCCAACATGGCAACATCATTAAAGCGATGAGCTGAGGGTGAAAAAGTCAGCAGACAGACAGCGACACGCCGCATGAGAACTCAACACCTCGCTTCAAACCAGACACCTGCTACCGCCTGCCTCCAACAAAGTCCCCCCACCCTAACCCCAACCCAACCAATGAAGCTTTCTCCATCACCTCAACAAAGTCCCATGGAGAGTTTCCTAACAAGCTTTGACTTTTACCAACTCTGCCAGAGATATATAAAAAAAAACAACCCAGGTTCAGGTGGCGCGGCTGTTTTCTTCCTGCTGCAGTCTTTACCACCACGCTGATCCATCTGAGTCCTTTTACTTTCCGCTCGCCCAGTTATGAGCGCTCTTCCTATTCCTGCTTATGAGACAAATTGCTCCCATCCATCACCATTTAAAAACCATTGTCTGGATTTCCACATCCTGTTGTTATTGCAGAGCCACAGATACATCCTTCCAACATTTATCTATTAAAACTCCATTAGACCTCGGCTCCGTAATGCCCTGCCTACTTCAGTAACACTGACACCACGTTAAGATCCATCTGATGCAGCACATGGCCTCACCCTGAACTGGACTCATTACACACAGATAAACTACTGCACTTCTTACACCTGGAAAGTATCTGGAGATGTGTGTCATGTGGTTTAAGTTATGATCCTCAATCAGCGGCATTGTGGACTTTTGATGTTCAAAACAGAGATGTGGAGTAATTGGTAAAGTCACCACAGTGGTGGAGTCACGTAATGACACCAAATAGATGTGATGAGTTTATACAACAAGCTATCCATTTGAACAATTCATCGTTTTTAAAATATATAGACACCGTTGAAAATACTATGGCAGTCTAGAATGTGATGTTTAAACCGAATGAGATGGATTTAATAAAATCCCACTCCTTTTAAAACTGGGATTGATGGATTATATTTTGCATATATGTTATGTAGCCTAAGAGGACATTTATCAGATTATTCTGATGGTCTCATGTAGTGCTTGATTATTGTTTATTGCTCACATATATAAATAAACAAATCCATTTGTTCATTTTTGTAGATTTTTGTTCTGAAGCAATATTTGTTTTTTCTATGAAGTTACAAATCCCAATGTGTTTTATAAAGTCAAAGGAAGCTAATCAACGCCTTTCAACATTTTATTCAAATAAAAATGTGCCGTGTAGCAACATTATTCACATATCCCAAAATAAACAAATAAATCAGGTTGATCCAAGGTGATGGAAACATGGAAGACAGGAAATATAAATCTGAAAACTTGCTAGAAAAAAAAAACTTTCCTAAGGCTAGAGACCTACCAGCACTACAAGTCTAAAGACACAGCCCAAGCTAAAAAGAATCGACATAAAAGTATCTCAGAATAGCCTAGACACTTGAGTATCTGTGACAAGACTTCTAAACTGCTATGTAACGAGAAACGAATAAATAGTAATAACAGAAAACATTGCGGCTCTACACATATATAAAGCTCAAAACATACGCCAACAGACTTGCAGCTGGAAGAACAGCAAAGAGCAGCTACAATAAAATCAAAGACTATTTAATGGTCAGGAAACACAATATATTTCATCACTGAGTCACAAACATTAAACCTATAGTTGCTGCAGCTAGCCAAGACATATTGGGGCTTTTCTGTTATCCGGCAATAAAAAGTTGCAAATTGCCATCTAATAGTGCATGTTACAGGTCCTGAGTAGGAGTGAGGTTATTCTGAAGCATCTCTAAGTAGGTGCATTAATATATTCACATGGGGAAAGAAATCACAATGTAACATCAAGCAACTGCTTTTGGCTAAATTTGGTGAGTCCAGTAGCCAGCTGTATCTGCATCTGAACACATACAGCAACCCTATTTTAGAGAAACTGTCATTGAGCTTTAATATTAATTTAAGTTAAACATGGATTAATTTAAAATGTTTGAATTATTTATTTATTTATTTAAAGAAACATGTTTGGTCAACTGTAATCTCAGTCTGGTATGAACACATTCTCATGAACATTTTCAAATGTCATAAATTCAATTTAATGTTTCACTTCTAAATACTTTTTATTTTTGTAAGGACTTTTATTAAAAAGATATATTCCTTTTAACAGAATATTACATCACTGCGTTACACACACGCTAGTAAAAAAAAAAAAAAAAAGTATTTGCACTGTGACATTTTCCCAGATTTCTGCTCATTCTTCATGAGTCAAGACCACGAGGGGCGCCGCTGGTTACGCAACGCTTTGTTTACATTTACTGACCAGATGTCACACAGCACTGCCCGTCACAAGACGAGCAGGAATCACACAGCAGATCTTATGAAGAGTCAGTTTTCCTTTACTTATCGACTTTAAAAATGGAGCAGAATATCCATGTAGAGTCAGGCATAAAGTACTGAAGAGAAAGGGAATTACATATAATCCCACACGTTTTAATGCCTCTGGTTGTCTGCCGTTGTGTGGATGGAATAAAGTTGATTTCAAAATCTATTTAAATGGTTTAGACTACTGCAGAGAGAAACACTGATGATGATGATGATGATGGGGTGATTGCAGCAGCGGCTCTTATGTTGCATCACCACCTTTTAGTACTGGAGTCTAAAAGTCTCCTACCTTACAGTTCATCAGTGGCCCATTGCTGCTTCTTCCTGATGATTAGCCTAAAACCCACCCAGGTGACAGTCCATGTCTTTGAATGAGGACTGTATGTGCAGACTAGAAAATTTCTGAAGAAATTTAAACGGGGCCTGAAAAAGCTGGTTGGAACCCAGTGCTCTGATGCTAAAAATTAGCATCAGGTTAAAATTAGCATCAACGCTAAGCTTAGCTAACATTTACTAAACAGCATGCGGATAATCTCAAGCATGTTGACTAACATGGACTTCTCTATTCAGTATTAGTGTATAAACTAAAATTAGCCAAAATGCTAATGTTAGCACAAATGCTATCAGTGGTAATTCCATTCAAAGAGACTGGAGAACGTACCATCTAGAAAAGTTTTCTCTGCCAAAGCGATATATGTAATCGTTGAAATTACAGCGAAGGCTGTGATGTCAATCTCCTCAGACATAATAACTTCCTGGTCCAGGGAAGTTTTTTTTCTTGGAACAGTGGAGAATCTGTTCTCAAAGACTGTATTGTCATGATCGCATGCTTCCCCATCAGGGGTCATTTTCAATTCTTCAAACAACGCACCGCATTGTAACGTCTTCTTTGTCAAATCAACATCACTGGTTTCAAATTCAACTTTTTGTCCCTCAGAGAAAACTTTCCCATCCAAAGTCTTCCTTTGGGAAGACTGGAAAAGAAAATCAAAATGTTCTCTTTGGGCTATGGTTTCACAGATATCCTCATCCAGGGTACTTTTCAATTTGAAGATACTGTATGTGCAGCTTGTGATGTGTTCCTTGTCAAATCGATAGCTGTGATTTCACCGTCTACTTTCTTTTCAGCTTGCGATGTTTACTTTGTGGAAGCCATTTTCTTTTCCTCACGCCAAACTTCCCGGTCTGGGTTAGTGTTTTCTTCAGGCACATTGGAAGAATCGTCCCAAAAGACTCTGCTCTGATCCTGAGAGCTAGCTTCCTGAAATCCTTTTCAGAAAGCAACCTGTCAAAGAGTTTTCTGACTCCTGTAGTGACTGAAAATCCAAGACCACAACTGTTAAAAAGAGACATGGTGACTGGATATTAATCTCAACAACACTAAAAATACTTGCGTGATGCAACGTTGAGATTAAACAAACTGTTTGGAGCTCACTGTGGGCAAGGTCTTGCTTCTGATCGTTGCTGTGGAAATGATAGATCAGTTCTGCTTGACTCAAAGCAGACACTCTTCTGCGCATGTCGCCTTCACAACACAGGAAAGAAAACATTATTCTATTTTAAAGTATTTACAATAAAGTTAATAAAATAATTTACAACTCACCACCAACGCTGATCACCTCTGTTTGCTCGGCACAACTCTTGCACCCAGCTTTGCTGCATCTGCAGTTACCAGAGGTTTTATATTTAGCACAGCATCTCTGTACCTCACACTGCCTCCCATTGAACCCGCTTCATTTTTAATTTCTGAATGCTTAGTTCATCACCTGCCTTGATGGATGCAGCTACACCTTCATTTTCCCTCTAATCCAGTGGAGCCCAAAGTCGATCCTCGAGGGCCGGCATCCTGCGTGTGTTAGTTCTCACCCTGGTGGTTGTAACAACCTTTTCAGCTTGTCAATGTTCCTCTTAGACCTTCTAACGAGCCATCATTGGATCCAGGTGCGTGCCGGCACTCAAGGACCCACTTTGGACACCCCTGCTCTAGTCTGTCAGACTTTTATAGGAATACGGATCAAATCGCGTCCCGTATCGGTCCGATACAGGATACAACATTTAACAGCCAAATACGGGACGATTCCGTATTTTACGGGACTGGTGGGAACTCTCATCCTGTTGGTACTATCAGCATGCTAACGACTATGCTAGTGATAGCTAACATTAGCCTGGTACCTAAATAAGCATTTTACCCAATTTTTGATTCAGCTATATTTATCATACTGAATAGATTAAGTTAATGTAGATCAACATGGTTGTGATATGACACATGCTACTGAGAGCATTTAAGCTAGCCTTAGCATTTTGGCTAATTTTAGCTTGTACACTAATGTTTGGACTTACTTTTACTTACTAAGAGTAAGTCCATGATAATATTAATAGTATAGATTCTCCACATGCTATTGACTGCATTTTAGTTCACCTTAGCATTGTTGCTCATTTTCACCACCAATGCTAGGTTCCAACTTACACACACATTTTGGCAGGCCCGTTTTAAAGTTCTTCAGAAAATGTCTAGTTATGGTTTTAGCCTAATAACTCATAATGTTGTTTTCATTAAATTTGTTGTAACTCAGATTTTTTAACATGTCTAAAACTTATGTGAACTACTCTCTTCTGCAAGGCACCTTTTTGTCTTTATTTTTTATTTTTTCTCTGTCTGACTATCTAGACCTTTTAGGTCTACTTTAACATAAATCTGTAAACACTTCTCTGAAACCTCAGGTGTCTTGTATTTAATGAATCAACGCAGCAGGTAATTGCTGTTCAAACACACCTCCTCTTACGCCTCCAGCTCTGAAATGATTGTATTTAAAATATAATCATGACCTCCCAAATGACTCCTGAGAGCAGCAACAGATAGAAAAGTATGATATTCTTTAAGAATTTCATACACTGATGCTTAGCGTGCAGTCAGACTGGCACTAATAGGATTTAAATCATATTCATTAGGTAGAATTACTCATTTGATCTCCATACCTAGATCAAGTTGTGAGTTTGAGCTACGCTGGAAAGTTAAAAGTCAGCAGAGACAAAAGAACTTGCAGCGGTTCTTGAAGAAACGTTTCTACAAAGTATCCACTGCTCTGCAATGGCCCATCAAATAAAACACCTACAACATAACGTTACAAAATGAGAAAAAGCACATAAAGTTGTCTTTCACAACTCACTGTAAGCCAACAGAAATAGTTGAATTGACTGAACAGAAGAAAAAAGGATTAGAATAAGAGATTTTGTCATTCTTCAGGACAAAACTGTATGAAATGACATGCAGAGAGAGAAAAAAAAAAGGCCGTGCAACTTCACACCAAGGACTCTCTCTGCTTTTTGCACCAACTGCTTCCAAGTCTGGGTTTTGTTACACACTCGGTTGTCCGCAGCTTCCTTCGTCCCTTTAAATATCGACCCGTCTCTAATCCCAGTCATTGTATCTTCAAATTGTAAAATTGTAATCGCATATGAATGTAGAAGGTAAGATTTGTGCACTTGTTACCAAAAGCAGACGACGAGACCGGCAGCAGCGGCTGTGGAAGGTTTTTTTTTTGTTTGGTGTGCCTCGTGAAGATGTCGGTGCAGAAAGTCACAGCGTTGGAGCAGCAAAGCATTCCCCTGTTAAAAGAGCAAAGTAGAGCAACAAGAGATTTTCTCAAGAGAACAACATGTTTTCACTCTTCTCCCAGGGGGCAAGAGTTTAATAATAATAACAGTCAGTTTTTCTTTCTTTTTTTTGTTGATCCTCTTCTGTTGGCTCAGCTCCTCTTTTTGTCCACGGAGAAATGCATCTGTTTGCTGCGACATGAGACACAGATATTATTACTCATGTTGCCCGTCAACATTTTTGGATGGGCTCCAGCTACCATGTATCCAGAGGTTTATTTTTGTTTGCCTTCCTACAAATTGCTTTAATATCGGTTTCAAACGCTGAGAAATCCGGTGAACCTCGCAGTAGTTAGAGTTCAGCATTTATCTGAAAATGATCATTACTCCTCCCGATGGATTAGAAGCTGTTGTCAGGTTGCATTTGTGACCTTTTTGCTGATTTTCATGCAGAGGCTGAAAGACATTAATCTTCTCTGACTTTCACACTATGGCGTGTCACATAATTCCCCCAAATAGCACATCAAACATCATTTCTGTGGCACTGTACCCCTCAACCACGACACGTCAAATACCTGGGAACTTGTCCTTATGTGTTAGTGTCATACAAAACGTTTGGATAGAAAACAAAATTGCTATTAATTACGCAGCTAAGCGCTGCAAAGGCCTACCGTAACCGTACTGTTTCTTCTTTTCATAAAGCCCCCAAAAAGCAAAGGAATTAGCTTTTTGGAAGCTTTATCATAGTCAAAAACTCACCAAATTTGGCAGACCTGTCAAGTCTGCGTGAAAATTACGTAATTTAAGGTAGTCGCAAAAATCGCAACAGAAACGGCTCAACAGCGCCACCTAGCAACTTTCAAAATACCATCTGCATTGACCTTACTTCATTGTAGAGACATTAATTTTGGTACACTTGTAGAGCTCCCTAAGACACAGAAAATTCAATTAATGTCATAGTGCAAGTCAAACAGGAAGTCGGCCATTTTGGATTGAAGTTCCGATTTTGACCCCATTTTGGTCGTTTACAGCCTTCGCATTTGATCGAACTCCTAGGGATTTCAATCGATTGGCTTCAAACTTGGTCAGTTGGTTCATAAAGCATGGCTGATTAAAAATTATCAAAACGGGGACTTTTTGTGAATGCTGAAAGGGCGTTACTGAGGGTCAAAGTCTATATACTCGCCATAAAACACGAAACTGTTATAACTCCTACACAAAAAACTCACAGAGGCACCAAACTTTTAGTGATTGATAATCATCGGGTGCCCACCTGAGACGGCTTTCAAAGCTTTTCCAAAAGTCAATTATTTGGCTATCAAGAAACATGTAAGTTGATTTTTAAGGACTAAATTATTTGTTTATGGAAAATTATGAAAGGCAAATAAGACTTGTATCTTTAATCTGTTTATTTAATTAGGTGCCTGTTACAAGTGAGGCCATTCGACAAATCAAGGAGGCAGGAGATGTGCAACCTCCAGGGTCATATCTCAGTTTTTTCAAAGAAAGAGTTAAATGCCTCAGCAGACAGACCGAGGAGGAGAGGAGAAGCCACAGGAGTGATTTTGGACTCGTTTTCAAACTCAGGTTTTTAATACTCAGTGTTTCCAGTTACAAACTTAGGAAATATTATAGAATTAGACAACTACCTTTTGTTTTATCTCTTAAAAATCCATATTTTCACAAGGTAATGAAGCCATACTTGGACCATCTGATTGAGCATCTTGAGAGGAGATTCCCAGAGATGAACATCCTTGCTGCATTCAACATACTCAGCCCACAATCAGTGGAGAAGGAAGAAGATGACTTTCAAGAGACTCCTTGTCAAAATGTTTCCCACTTTGGATGAAGAGGCAGTACTCCAAGAATGGACAAGTTTCAAAGTCCATCTTGGCCAAGGCATTTTAAGGTAAATAGCAGAAGCAAAGTGTCTAAGAAATTTCTATAAAACATTAAATTTTTATTATTCACTTTTTCCCTAAAAATAATTATTCCAAAAACATTTGTTTGTTTGTTTTAGGACAGGTCACAGCTGGAGGTGACGCAGGAAATGGCCTCTGACTTTGATGAACTGAAGCTTCTCTTCCCAAATCTGTCACTACTCTCTGCCATTGCATTGACAGTTCCAGTTTCAAGAGTGAACTGTGAAAGAGACTTTTCAGCTATGAACTCTAGAAACTAGAAGTTTCTTTAGCTATACATTTTATGTCAGTTCTGGTTTATATTCAATAGATAAAGATGGACCTCAGAAACAGGCTTCAGGGCAAAAGCCTCACAGCGTGTTTGCGAATCAGAATAAATGGACCTCGTGTGACTGACATGGACTTCGATAAGGTTCTGGAAGAATTCTTTACAAAACTCAGAAGGATGATGTGCAGATCCAACATGCTTCCTGTGCCACTTGTAAAAATCAAAGCTCGAAAAAAAAAAGCATCTCTCTTTTTTTTTTTTTTTTTTTTTAGTTTTCTTTTGTTATTCAGTGGCTTTGATGTGAGACGTGTTGGTGCTTTGTTTGCACTTAATTTATGCTAATTTCATTTGTTTATAAGTATAGCTGTTAAAGTAGGATTCAACGTAAGTGCAAACAAGTTGTATTTATTTTAATTGTATTTTTAGTTAACAGTGTCAAAAGTGTTCCTTTTGTAAGACTGTAGTTGAGAAAATATTTGTACGGCAAAACATACCCAAGAACGCCACAAAACAGCTTTAGCAGCGAAACATCTAATGCTTAATTTAATAGCAACACTTTGCTGTTAACTCAGGATAAATTAAAATGCGTTATATTCGTATTTTCACGTACAAAACATGCTTACCATATTTGGTTTTATAAAGCCACCCATTGAACTTCGGCTCTGCTAACCATTTTTCGTTAAACCCGCTAGTTCGATGGTTGCTGTTGTGGCTCTCGGGGGACTGCCCCGAAGAGGCGCCAGTTCCCTCCAGGGGTAGCTGTAGGTGGCTAATGTCAGGTAGTGGTACCGGTGGAAAAAAAAGAAAGAAAAAGTTTTCTTCCATTAACCACTAGATGTCGCCATTGCGCGTAAACGGATTTTACCATGACTACTCATAAACCTTCATCGTCACTGTTGCCATGTATAAAAATTACGTAATTTACAACAAACAAGCAGCGCTTAGCCTGGCGGCGGGGGCAGTAAAGCATGGCGGATCGCCAGGCCTATAATCCACTGGAGGAAACACTTGAATAGCTTAATCTTTGCGTTAGTGATAGTAATCATAGACTAACTACTTAAAATAGCACAACTCACTACTGACCAGGGCAGAAACAAGTCGGCAGCCATTTAATGCTTCTTTTGATCCTAAATAATTGACCCAACCTAAAACAAAATGATTGTTTGTTTCCAGGCTTTTGAAAGCTTTCATCTGCCTCTGGTTCATCAGGTCTGCAGCTGCAGAAAGTTAACTTGATCACCTCAACGCCACATAAATCCTCAACATTATACAAGAAGTCTTTTTAACCAAGAAAATATGGATCATCCTAAATATATAATTCAGATGGGGCTCAGGAAGTGGATTTCTCCAGTTTAAAAAATGGCTAAATGGATTAAAGCAGTACGCTAATGCCCTAAATTAGCTAGAACACACAAGGTGCCTCAAGAACTGTATATTTAGGATATGATGATCCATATTTTAAAATTTGAACCTGAATAAAATGGTAAATGTTGTATAGTGTGCAGTATTGTAATTAAGTATAACACCAGCTGAACATGTTGAACTGAACAACCGTCCTGAATGTAAGCTGCTTCTCCGCCGCCATTACATTCTCTGCAACGCTGCCAGGAAAAAGCAGCTGAGTCAGAAAGTGGGAATAGCAAAGTGGACGAAGGACATTATGGGCTTAGAAATAATAAATGATATAAGTTATGACCAGTAATGGAGTCACTGGATAGGTAAGTGCATGCCCAGATAGCACAGAATGATTGAAACAACA